AACAAATACAACTTTGATCTCTAGTATTCATTTAGGACTATGACTTTTTCTTTGGTGTTAAATATCCCTTTGTTTTAAGACATTATGAGTTTAATAGATTGTGCTATTTTTAAAAAATGAATTTGCATGACAAAAATAAAAATTGACAGCTGTGTGGTAGACATTACTAGGGCTCCCCACTGTTTGTTTTTCTCCTCTTCCTGGGCATACGCTTCCCAGCCCCCTTGCAGTTAGATGAGGTCTCGGAATGACTAGTTTGACTAATAGAAGCGATGTGTCATTCACTTCCGAGATGAGACTCCTAAAGCCTCTCCAGTTCTGTCTTCTTCTGTTGCTGTAACCTGGAAATTGTATGTTAGGGTCACAGGCAACACAAGAAAGAAGCAGACTAGATCCCTGAGTCATTGCTTGGAATGGAGGTGCCTGGAGAGCCTCTGGTCCTCCAGCCAACATTGCATGAGTGAGAAATCAATGTTTCCTGTTAAACTGCTGAGACTTGCCATTGTTTGTTACTGCATAATAGCCTAGCTAGCCTATATAACAATTCTTTGTCAGCCTCTACTCCCCCGTTTTAAAAAATGTACTGGATTTTAAAATCTAATTGTCAGAGAACCATTCTTGAGTAGATTACTTAAAACTATAAAAAAAAAATCTCTCTTTGTGTATGTGTGTGCATGTATGAAGGTTTAGAGAATAGATTTCTTTAGACATATGTAATATATAGTTATAGTATATATACACACACACAATAGCACACATATGTTTTTTTAATAAAATAAACTTAAATGAACTTATGACCTTTAATAGATGTCTGGTTTGAAACTTTGGTAGCATCCCTCCTAGTAATTAGTATTTCACGATAGCAAGGCCAGAAGTATGGATCTAAACCAGCTAGAACTGGTGCTATCTTTATCTCTTTAACGTGCTCCTAAGACCAAGATGTGGCCATTGCTCCAAGTGACCCACGCCAGTTCTATCCTCTCAGTATTTAAAACTCTTCCTTAGGTCCAAGGAAATCCCTCTGTAGTTCATTTAAAATCAATTCCTTTTGATTTTGCAGCTGTGGAAATGGAGATGAAAAATTGTTCCTTATGCCTCTCCTCATCAAAGCCCTTCCTCTCGGAGGCCACAGTCCTTGTTGTCACTTACCCTTCTCTCAGTTAAACTAACAAGGAGTGAGTACCTTCTCCGTTCCCAATAATACTTTAACAAGATTTTGACTAATGCTGGCTAGAATGGATAGATGATTTTAATTCCCCGCATGTATGGAGCACACTGTTTGTCATTACCTGCCCGTGTCATGTGGGTGCTGCCCTGCTGCTGTCTGGTGCCCATGCACACGAGTCTTTCCATTCGGCATTTGTGTGAACACGTTTTTTCTCATATCCATGCTCATTCTCCTGCTTGCAACACCCTCTCTAGCAGCTAACGTTTGATCTTAGCTATTTTAGCAACCTATTTATTTTTTATTTATTTATTTATTTATTTATTTATTTTTAATGAATTTTTTTTATTACAAAAACAATTTTTTTGAACTTCAATCTGACTCAGCTTACATTTTTCCTGACTTCTGATCACCTCAACCACAATCAATCTTGTCTTCCTTCCCTCTGCCTCTCTACTATGTGCAGTGTGGTCAGTTATGTAAATATCTTACTGCCTCTTCTAAATAGAAAGCTCTGAATGTCAGTAATTACATCCTTGTCACCCAACAACAGTGCCTGCATTTCACAGTAAATACTTGATTGTCTCCTAGTATTATTACCTGTTCTCCCCAATCCCACACCCAAGAAATGTGCTGTTATGAATGTGCAATTTCATCTGTTTTTGTAAAAACAGTGTGAATTTTACCCCTATTTACTAGATCGCTGAGATTTCCAACGTAGTTGTTGCCTCACCTTATCTACTACCTAACAGCGTATTTTCCAAAAATCCTGAATGGAATGGTCTCCAGGATGAAAATAATCACAAGGAATTATTGATCTGTGGATTGTGTTATTTCAAAAACCTGTACAAGGGCCATGCAGAGACCCCCAACTGCCCCACAGAGCTGTAGTCACAGAGGACATGCTGTCATAAGGACTTCAGCAACATGCTTGTGCACCATCACCCTCCTGACTGTAATTAGACCTTCGAGAACTCTGTCCAAGCCCTATCATAGCGCTCATCACCCTCTTCTCTAATTGCTTGCTTAATTGCCTTTCCCTCTCGTTTCTAAGCTCTTTTAAGGCACGGCCCATTTCAGTGTTGTTCACCATGATGTCCATCAGGCCTAACACAGTAACTGACAAATCCCAAGTGTTCATTTAGTGTGACTGAATAGATGAAGCATCCATGCTTCCCAGAGGTTGTCTTGTCCTATAGTGCAGCTTTGGGGCAGGAGGCCCCCCAGTGCCTCTTGGGCATTTTTACTGCTTCCTTTCCTACTTTCATAGCAATTGAAAAGTGTTTTTGTTTCCTGTAGGAAGAACATGTCAGCAGCTCACTCACATTCGGTAGAATTTTGAGCTGTGCACCTAGGAATGGGGATGACTTTGCAGTTCAGCATTTACTCACTTCCTCCCCACCTCTTGAACTTGGTCTAGCCAGTTAACTAGTGCCAAAGTTAACTAGTGCCAAAGTTAATAATATGAAAGCATCGTTACTTCCACCATCTACAGCTAACAGTTACTGAAGGTTTGCTATATGCCAGGCTGGCTGCTCAGTGCTTCACGTTAGTTCTCGGTTGATCCTCCAAACAGCCCTGCAAGGGTAGGCACTATTATTGTCCCTCTTGTTATACATGAGAGCCTCAGGCCCCAGATCATAGAGTTAGCAAGTGTCAGAGCCAGGGTCTGTCCCCAAACAGTTCTTTCCAGACCCCCATGTTATATCGTCACCTCTTATGAAGTTGATAGGCATGTGTCATATCTATTCCAGATGAAGATTAATCTCTTTTTATTTTGTGTTTCAGCTTTCCTCTTTATTACTTCACTGTCAATCATTTGTGAATTGCTTCTCATAATTCTCATATGATCATGCTGATAATGAGGTTAGAGAGTAGTGGGCCCTTCTTCAAATGAAGAAACTGGAGCATAGAAAATCCAAGTGACTTGTCAATGGCCACACCAGGGTAGATGTCACTGCTCCCCCTTGGCCATTGGTGGCTTCAAACTTTATATTTGGTAATCTACTTCTTGAAGGTGACTGAGATCGGGGAACCATCCACCTCCCCACGTGCTCTGAGTTCTGTATGCTGGGGACTTAAAGCAGAGTATTACTCATTCACTTGTATTCTGTTTCTATTAGTGATAAGTTATTCCAGGTCTCATGATTTTCAGCATGAAAGGTCTTCTGTGAACCAGAGAGAAGCATTCTAAAAGAAGTTATTAAGCATTATTAATACAATTACTTATAACAAAAGACATAATTTAACTTCCTCGCAGCCAACAAAAAACTTCATTTGAAGCTTTAGGAACTCTAGCTAGACGGGCAGAGCTCATCAGAGTGGGTGCTTCAAGGGGTGGGGGTGGGTGGGGCGTGCAGGCGAGGAGCCGGGCTGGCTGCTTTGTCCTTGGGGATGCTTCTGTGCATGTTGGACTTACCTCTCTCCCAGCCTCCCAGCTCCTCTGTCACTCTCCACCTCAGGTACCCATAGTGCTTCTTATCACAGGCACGTGGTCCAGAATGTTGGCTTGCGCTTGTCTTTTATCTGGTCCAGGGTACTGCATAGGCAGCAATGAAAGGACAATTGGTTTTAATGAATAAAAGATGACCATGGAAATACTCAGAAGATAGAAACAATGTTCTTCCTAGTGGAAGGAAAGCCTTGGTGAATTTTTGTGACTTCATCCAAAATGTTAAAAATAGCTATTATTTATTGATGATATTGTGTCAATCCCCACCACAATCCCAGTCATTATTTTTACCTTATTGTACTAAACCATGAGCTAGGAGAGAGCAAACACCATATCTGTACCGTCCCTAGACCAACGCATGTCACAGAGTAGGTGCTCAGAAAGTATTTATTAAATGAAGGGATAATACCGATGAAGAAATTGAAAACCCCCAAAGTTAAATTACTTGCCCAGGATCACATCACTAACAGAAAACAAAACCAGGATTGGAATCCAAGGCTACCCAATTCTATAGAGTTCTTTCTTCATGATTGCTTGGATAGGCCTCTTTGTTGGTGCAGAGAAAAGGAGATTGGAGACCCAGGAATTTAACAAACTCCAGTCTAAGGTCCAGGAAATGTGGGTTCTGACCCATCCTTGCTGAAGTTCAGTGTGACCTTGGAAATAACCTATCTCCACTCAAAGCCTCAGTTTCCTAATCTGTAAAATGGAGAGATGGAAGAAGACTCTCTAAAGGTCTAGGCGCCCTCAGATGCCCCTGTGAAGATTTATGCTATGTCTTCTTTCATGCTTACTCAGAGCCAGGGTCAGGGGTTGAGGGAGGGGATCACCGAAGCACTTGAGGAAAGTGGGTCCAATGTGTTTTATTTCAGGGATGCAAGAAAACTCAAGGATTACATAGTCTCAAGCTAACAAACACCCTAAAATTAAAGTAGAAGAGACAAAAGGAAGTAGAGGTATTTTTAGGATCCACACAGCTTTTGGGGAGGAAAAATGGAGCTCTGATTCCACTCCTGGGCTGGTGCAGCATATAATCTGAAACAGGTGCTCACGTTGGTAACTCAGCCCAGACTTGATCCCCTGCGCATAAGAGCACCACTTAAAAAAAACCAAAACAAAAAAACAAATAGGCATGTATCTTTAAAGCCTCCGTTTTATATATGATATGTTTTTGTACTCCTTTGGAGGTTGAGTAGCTAGGGCCTTTGCATCCAGGAAGGGCTTTTTTTCGTCATCTCCCTGGCTTGGGGATTATTGATTTGGAAGGCAAGGCTAATTTACATGTAAATAAATCTCAGCGCTGGGCAGTAGGGACAGGACGTCCAGATGCCGGGACTGACTTGCTGACGTCACGGCTTCATTAGCATGCGGAGGATGCGAGCACTGCAACAGCGACTTCTCCAGCACCACCAGCAGCTCCTCCGACAGTTATTATTTTTTGGCCAAACTGCACATTTCCTGGTTTAATGTCTTGAGCTCTGCAACCAGCTAACTCGTTTCCCGGGGTCTGGCTCAGACTCAGTTGGTGACGCTGAGGCTGGGGTCTGTGACTTCCTGCAGACTGATGAAAGCCAGGTTCTCAGGAAGGCTACCGGATCCAAAGGAAGGGTAGAAGTCACACTTTTTTTCCCTGCTTGGTGGATCCCCAGCAGGATCTAGATCCAGCAGTGCCGTTTTCCGGGAGTGTATGCCGAGCACCTCAGGCTTGAGCCTGCTGCTGGCTGCAGGAAGGGTCCAGATTTTGAGAAGGGTTTCCAGAAGAAGATGCTTCGGCTGCCTGCGGTCCTGCCTGCCCTGCTTGCGTTCCTAGAAGCCAGACTCAGGGAAAAAGTGAACTGGGGCAATTGACAAGCGCACAGGGTCTGGCGGAAACTACTGAGACTGGGAATTTCATCTTCCTTAGAGGTAGGTAAGGAATTTGCTTTAATTCACAAATGAAAACAGCAGCACATTTTCTAAGGAGGATGAGAAAGCAAGATCTAGAAGCTTTGCATTTGGAGACGACATCAGGGCTCCATTATCTTAGCTAGGTGTCATTTTTAGTGGTTCTCTGGCACCTTTTGCCTTTCTGTGCTATTAGAAAACTCAATTGTAAAGTGACATAACACAGCTATAGGGAGTCCTGAAGAAACACTTAAGTCCTCGTGGTTCAGAAGCAACGTTCTCTAAAAGAAGTGCAGCTATCTTTTAAAAAATAAAAATAAAAGGGAAGAGGGTTTAGAAACGGTATACCTGGTAGTGTTCATGCACAGTAGTCATTTCAGCTCAGGATGTCAGCAGCGTTAGGGGATCAGAGGACTTAGCTGAGACTTCCAGGTAAAGGAATGGCACTTGGATTGTTTCGGTTTAATTTTAGCCAATGCTTTCTGGTTAGAAATGGTGACAGAGCTCCAGAATATGACTGCACAGCCTGGCGGAAACACGTGACTCAGTGTGTTCTCTACATCGGTTTCTTGGAGGGGTGTTCTCATTCTTGGTTTTCTGAAAACCAGTCATAGCATTACTAATCTGTCATGGGGGTCTTGCAATGAAATACAATGAAATATTTCTTGCAATGAAATATTTAATCCCTTTATTGTTATGTGATCTTAGAATATGCTGGGATCCAACAGGACTTTTTTGAACCATAAGTGATTTAGGCTGGACCAAATCACAGCAGAGTAGGTGATCCATACTAGATGCGATGCCATCCGCCAATCCAAGCATTGCTCTTGTATAATTCAGGCACGTTGGTTATTTCCCCAGTGAGAGAGTTCTGCCTCCAGTCAGTGCATCCATGAGCACAGTCGGGGAGGGCTCCAGTGTGCCGTGAATATGTGGACACAGACTGCCTGCCATGTTCCAAGGCTGCAGCTTGCAAAGCTGCAATTTGTTTTGCTTGAACATCTTTTCCCGGAGAGTGTTTTAAACCATCTCAGTTAGACTTGAAATAAATGAAGCAGCCTGGCCTCCTTGCTGGAGGCCGAATTGGCTGCTCTAATCCTGCTCCCATAGGCTTGCTGGCTGCTGATGGCTTTCACAGATGGGTCAGGATGAGCGTCCCCATGGGCTCCAGAGTAAGTCACAACTTTGACAGAATTACCGTATTTTGGAAATTTGAGTTTTAATGCCTCCTTCAGTGCTTGTAAAGGTTTTGCCTTTTTATCAAATGCTCTGTCCCCTCAGGAATTCTTTTTTAATGTGAAAATTAAAACATGTTGGCTCCATCAGGCATTGTTATCTGTAAACAGTCATGGGACAGCCAGAAATAGTAAACTAGCTTGTTTTTGAAATGGCAGGTTTGAAAAGGTACACCATGCAGTGTAGAAAAAGAAATAGAAATATTGGAAGGAAGATGCATTCATGGAAGCTTAAGAAATGAGAAGGGAGCTTAGAGGTTAGACAATATGGAATGGTGTTTATCAAGGGCTCAGACTCAATTCAGGAAGAACTAAAGACACACAGAGCTTCCTCTCTGAGCACTAATTCCTATCTGTGTAGTGGGAGAGCATTAGAACCTATAGGCCAGGTGATAGGTGTAAGGATTTAATGAGATGATGTATGAAAAGCACAGTAAATGCTCAATAAATGTTAGCTATTACTGTCGTCATTGTTACCATTTTATCATTATGATTATAAGCGTTGTTTTTAAAAATGAAACAGTCCACTGAAAAGGCAATAAATATGTTCACATCCGTTTGTCTGCAAAGAGGTTTTGCTGGCAGAAAAGGTGCCATCTCTAATCACTGTAATGTCCAAATCCATTCCCCCTCAAAGAAACTTTCCACCCCGTTGACTGAGTTGACAGAATAAAGTCTATTATCCGGGGCTACTGTGTTTGCAGAACTAAAAGTGGCCGGATGGTAAAATGACAATCATTTTGCTCAGTCACCCTTAAAGAAGGCCTCCTGTTTTGGCAGCTGACAAGTCACGGGTAGAAAACTGCAGGATCCAAATTGGAATCGAGGCATTTCTGGATTTCTGTTTGCATTGTTCCAACTTTGCATGCGAGAGGCAGTTCTTTTCTTTCTTCTTTCTTTTCAGTGAAGGCGCTTAGCATTTTCTTCTCCATCCAGGGAGGCCTTTGAATATGTGCTTCACCTGCCAGCTGGCTCCTCAAAAGTTACAAGGCTGAATTTATGCCACCATGTGGGTGACTTCCATTTGTGGGTTGACTGTTAAGGGGAAGGAGTAGGCTCCCCTGCCCACCAGCCGTGACCCCGTCCTCTGCCCTTGATTTGTGTCCCCTGACAGGATGTCTTTGCCAGATTGGTGCTCTTCCTCCTGTCAATGAACATACTTAGGTCACAATTTTACGCCAATTTCCCAACATCTTTCTTTTAAACTTAGGTGAAATAGAACTCCAATGCAGGGGTCTGAATGACAAACTAAAAGTGAATTAAAGGAGCCAGAGGAGTCTAGCATAGAATTCTTCCTCAGGAAACTCAGAAATGGGACTTGAACATTCCTGGTCACCATTGATTTTCATTAAAGTTGTGCTTTGAATGGAGAGTGGTATTCATACTTGACTGTAGTATATGTGATCTTGGGAAAGTTGCCTAATCTCTCTGAACTTTGGTTTCTTCATGTGAAAATGGGAAATAACTTCCTCTGGACTCATGGAATTGCTGTGCATTGACGGCCGCAATGGCCTTGCCCAATTCCTGGTACCTACTAGGTGTTGGACTCCATTTCCTTCTGGTCCTGATGACTTTCGTATTTGATTTAATATTCCCATTTAATCCCAACCTGTGAACAACAGGAGGTAGTAGTTATAATGCTCATTTGACGGAGGAAACTGAAGACCAGAGAGGGAACATAACTTACCCTGAATGACACAGCAAGTCCTGGTACCCCGTCTAGTGCTGCTTCCTCTGCTCATCGATTGCAAAGCCTGAGTTGGAGCAGGGCTCTTGACCACCCCTGTGTACTGCCAGCCTGGAATGAGCAGAAATCTCTTTTTCCAGGAGCCCTAAGCCATGGTCTTCTCTCTTCTCTGTTGTTTTCAAACACACAAAAGCCAAAATGCTCTGTCCCTCAGCCAGGAATTCTAGGTGGCATTTGGGTGAGGACTTTTCTGCTGTGCCTGAAGACCCCCTAAAACCTTTAGTCTCTCCCTCCGTGATTGTGGTTTATAACCAACAACTGCTGGGGATTCTGAAATGTCACAAACTAAGAAGCTTGGGGCTAGTCGTTGACTGAATCTCGTTTCTTCTCTGATGTTCCTGACTGACACTTGCCAGTCTGCCCTTGTCCTAACCTGTAAAGATTTTTAATGAAACGCTCTTATTTTTATTATACCTTGCCCGTGTGTGTACATGTGTGTAAATGAATCAGGGGAGAAAATGCTACTTAAGATCACACTAAGGTTCCAGCAACGTAAATCTCCCAACTCTCTACTGGGGACCTAGCCAGTTGAGTTTGGAGACTTGGTTTTCTTTTTTCTCTGGCCTATTGTTTGAGCAGTTCTTTGTTTGGAGTGTAAAAGCCAGGGGCTTGCTTGTACTATTATTTCCCTGGGGACAAGGCAGAGGGAGAATAGAAGCAAGGAGAGAAAGAGATTGGATGGAGGAGTTAGGAGGAGGGGAGAGCGGGAAGACAATGGGGAGGCAGCTGGGAGAATATCAGCAATCTCTCATCCAGCATGGAAGTGCAATGCTGAAGGCTCCCCTTGGGTGAAGTCACAACTCAGAAGACAAGAGCCTCTGTTCTCCTTCAGCTAGAAATTCCTCTCCTCCTCTCCCCATCTGTGTTTCAGAACTCATGATGCGGCCATTTTAAATCCTAAAACCCCACTCGTGGCTAAACACAGGGTGTGTTTTCCACCAGAGCACCATGGACCATTTTTAAAAGTGCATTAATTAAAAAGAGCACATTCTTCAGTACAGTGTGATGGGCCTGCCTTTCCTTAGTGGGTATAGAGGGTGAATTTCAGCACACATTTGGCTATCAAGTCTGTAAAAATCAAGCTGGCTGAACTGAAGACTCAGTGTTTATGAGAGCTGACATGGAAGAGGAGACATAACACTGTAGAGAGCACAGAATCCAGAGACATCACTGGTTGGAAGTGAAGGCGTCATGGAAGTTAGGTCTAGTCTTTTGTGAGAAAGTGTCTCCGGAGCCATGCTTACAGTGGAATGAACCTGCAGGAGGACGGAGGAATGGTGACCGCTACTCTCCCCCTTCTTCCTGGTCCTAGCAGTGGAGCTGCTGTGTGTAAACCATTCTAGGGCACAGTGGGGATGCCAGGCACCATTTACCCCCTGGGATGTGGGACAGAGACGGAGGCCAGGTCAGTGCCTTTGATAGTCCAGCACTCGACTGACAGGTGACGGAGGAGTGGCACTGGGAGTGCCATTGGCCCCAAGTCCCCCATCCTTCCGCAGTTCCTTAAAATCAAACCTTACAAATGTTATCCTACCCCATCTAAGGTAAAAAGTAACTGGGACAAGAATTCTTACCCATTTGATTTCGATGGGCAAGAAGCCATTTTTCCAGGTCTTTTCTTGGCATCCAGTCCTCAGAGATGCTTGTTTGAAAGTTCCAGGACTCAGGTGTAAAGCAGCTATACTGTCTGTGGTCACAAGGTTAGAAATGTTTTCAGGGTAGATATATTAGAAAAACTAATAACTATTATAGATTGAGCACCTATTGTGTGCTAGCTGACATGAAAGATGCTTTACATACTTTGCCTTATTAATTCTTGCAGCAATTCTATAGTAGGTATTATTAGCTCTGTTTAATAATGGAGAAACCAAGACTCCTAGAAGTGAAATAACTTGGCCAAGGTTATACAGACAGTAAAGAATAAAGCTCAAATTCAAATCCAGGATCATTATAGGCCAAAGCCTGAATATGTCCACCATTCTAGGCCTTCTACCCTTCTTACTATAATATCGCCCCTGTATGTTTTATCTTTGCCTTCT